AGACGTGAACCATCAAGCCCTCCAACGATGGACTTGAGTTAGCACTAACGTATCAACGCTGGTTCATCCACTGTGACCAATGTACCATACAGACGCGAACCGTCAAGCCCTCCACCAATGGACTTGAGTTAGCACTCATCTATCGACACTGGTTCATCCACTGTGACCAATGTACCACACAGACACGAGATGCTGGCAAGGGGAGAAACGGTGGGCAGGAGAAAGGGTGTCAGGGAGCTCTCCACTTTCAGCACAGTTTGTCTGTCAACCTAAAACCCTTCTACAAAATAACGTCTATTCAAATACACGGGGCTACAGAATTTGCTTCACCACTATAAAAGCATTTAGGAAAAAAGAGGGGTTTTATTTTCTTTTTTATTGTACTTTAGATGAACGTTGCCAGAACATATAGTTTCTCATTAAACACTTAGTACATATATTGTTTTATGACCTTGGTTAACAACCCACGACATGTCAACACTGTCCCTTCTTAACCTTGGGTTCACTTTTACCAGCTTTCCTGTCCCCTCCTGCCTTCCGGTCCTTGTCCCTGGGCTGTTGTGCCCTATTAGTCTTGTTCTGTTTTATGGGGCTGTCTAATCTTTGGCTGAATGGTGAACCTCGGCAGTGACTTCATTACTGAGCTAAAAGGGTGTCCGGGCGCCATACTCTCAGGGTTTCTCCAGTCTCTGTCAGGCCAGTAAGTAAAAAAGGAGGGTTTTGCCTGAATGTGAGGCTGGAACGAAATCTCCACCAGAGGGTTCTGCATAAGCCACCGTCTTCCCAAGCCCTGGGGAAAGGGCCTCCCTGTTGGGGAACATGATCGCTCCTGTCAACAATGAGCGCTGGTTCAGCCTAGAGCTTCCTGTCCAGGAAACCTGACCCTGCACATGCATGTCCTTCTCCAGTGTCCCCAGCCAATTCCAGTGCAGCTCTCCGCGCTCCTTGCGGGGCTGGGCGGCGGCCAGCTGTTCTTTACAGTGACACCATTTCCAATAGCACCCCCAGCCCCCGTTCTGGGTGGAGCCCGAAGACTACCTGGAAGTTCAACGCACAGCAGAGGAGCTGTAGCCCAGGTGACCAGGAGATGTTGTGGACAACACGCCGATTCCTGTTTCAGGAATCATTGTGGGTCTTTGGTTCCAACTACAGGGCAACCCCAGCTAACGTTCTCCCACATACCACGCCAAGGAGTGCCTTTAAGCCTCCTTCTGTCGCCTGCAGAAAGTGTCCCGCCAACAGGTGAGAGCTGAGAGGAACACTTGGCTGGGACCAGCCTCCCAGGGGATATCAGGAGGTGTGTGTGGCATTGTAGGTGATCACGTTGACTGGCGCCCATCTCAGTGGACGGGGCCGGGGGTACTGTTATGGGTTGAACTGTGTCCCCCAAAAAGATATGCTGAAGTCCTAACACCAGGTACCTGTGAATATGACCTTGTTTGGAAACGGAGTTTTTGAAGACGTTCTCAGTTAAGTTTCACATGAGGTCATACTGGAGTAGGGTGGGTCCTAGTCCCGTATAAATGGTGTCTTCATAAGAAAGGAGACAAGACACAAAGACAGAATAAGAAAGAAGACAGCCATGTGACAATGGAGGAGGAAGTGATTGGAGTGATTCAGCCACAAGCCAAAGAATGCTGGGGACACCAGAAGCTGGAAGAGACAAAAAAAAAAAAAAAGATCTTCTCCTGGAGCCTTCAGAGCAAGTACAGCCCCACGAACACCTTGATTTCATACCTTGAGCCTCCAGGAATGTGAGACAACACACTTACATCATATGAAGTCACCCACTTCGTGGTACTTCATCACAGCAGCTCTGGGAGACAAATGCAGACGCTGAGTCTGTGCAGTAGATGCCCACTCTGCACAACAAAGAACCAAAAACCCACCAGGAGCACCCCACTGAGACACTCGGAGAAGAAGGGCCAGGAACTTGGAGGGCAGGAAGGGCTGGGCTCGCATCCTAACTGCACAGACTCATCTTGTGAGCCCAGGCAAACCAGTTAACCCAGCTGTGCCTCTGTCTCCTCAATGAGAACCAGAGCCACCACTTAACCGGCAGGGCAGTCGGAACCATCAGACAAAACATTAATAACACAGGTAAGGTGTCCACCCCTGGTCCCAGTGATCCTGGCTACTCGGCAAAAAGTAGCATCACCATCACCACTGGCCATGAGACAAGAGCTCAGCTGGCCGGCCACCTCAGCTCCCTGGGAACTCCTCTCCTTTCCGATGGACCTGTGCTGCCTACATTGGCACACCCTGCTCCAGGACAACCCAGGACACACCCAGTTCAGAAGACACTTTGGGCGAATCCTGCTTCACTCACCAACCATTAGTCACTCAGCAGGCAAGCCCAACTCCAGGATCAGTACCTGGCACAGTGCAGGCGGCCAGTAAACACTTCCTGAAAGATGGAATGATGGCGGGGAGCCACAAAAACAATAAGAAGCTAACGAATCCAGGCCACTATTATAGTGGTGTAAGACACATACTCAACTGCCATATAATACAGAAAAAGCAAAAATAAATACCAAATCAAAGCTCCTTTGGAGACTCAGAGGAAGGAGTAATTGCACCTGGTAGGGTATGCATGACCTTATGCAGCTCCGCCCAGGAACAAGAAAGAACGTGTAGGCTTGGGAAGGTGGAGGCTCCAGCATGAAATGCAGCAGAAGGCATGTCTGCAGACCAGAGCTGAAGACGGTTTTTATCCTCAGTGACCCTTCCCCTTCCCTGTTACCAGAGTGATGCCCAGTATGGTAACACTCCACTAGGAGAGTATTGTTATCTAATTCCTGTCTCCCTATAGTCCTGTGGGAAACACTGGTGGCATAGTGGTTAAGAGCTACAGCTGCTAACCAAGAGGTTGGCAGTTCGAATCCACCAGGCGCTCCTCAGAAACCATATAGGGCAGTTCTACCCCGTCCTATAGGGTTGCTGTAAGTCAGAATCGACTCAACAGCAACGGGTTTGGTTTTGGTTTTATAGCCCTGTGAGATGGCTGTTCCATCGCTGTTTGTTAGAGGTGTTCTGAAAGCTGAAGGATTTGCTGGAAGATACAAAGATAGTGCAGGTAGAACTGCAAAG